CAGGTTGTTTCTGAAATGCACGTTTCTCTTCAAATATATACGGTTCAAACAAAACCTTTTTTTACACTCTGTTACCATCACAGGATTAAAAATCAATGTTTTACTTTTTTGGTCAATCCCTCCCAATTCTGGTTTTGCTGCCACAGTCATGGAACCTTCATACTCACTGGCAGAAAAACAGAGTACAACTTATACTTATACTTATACTTACTTATACTCTTATAATTCAAGAGTACAACTTAAATATAATTAGTGCTCTGTCCTGTGAACAAACAGGAAGCTAATCTTTACAGATTTTAGGATTTTTTTTGCTTTTGTTTAAGGACATCACTGATCAAATTTAGATGGTCCCATGAGCTTCTTCTAGCCTTTAGGTTTTTTTTTTGTTTTTTTTTGGTAATTATTGAATTAGGAATCCCTCACCAATCTTTACTTTCCTGATTATACTCTACCTAGTTTTTTTCACTTTTGAACCATTTAACTTATTTTAATGACAGACAAAACCTTTTTTAAACTCACTTTTAGCTTTTAACCATGAATATGAACAAAAAGACTATACAGGGAGGTCAGGTATAAGCTTACCATTGTTTAAATGGGATAAAACTCAAAAGGGCACCTATCCTGTATCCTGTGTTCAATAAGTCATCATGACAAAACATAAGTAATTCACATGCACAGTAACAGCTTTCAGAGCCAAACTCTGCAGAAGACTTTTTGATTGATCTGAGTAACAGTAAACATTTGCCAGAGATTTATTATGTTATGCCTGAATTTAAATGCTTTTTATTGATTGATTTTTTTTTAAAGTCATTGAATCATCATTGCTGTCTTTAATAGGGACCACTTGGACCACCCGGGACTGTGGGACTGTTAGGGGAAATTGGTCAAAAGGTGGGCAAATTGAGAACACTCACTTATATTTGCAGTTAAACAGATGCAGACCTGCATATTTCACATGTGTTCATCTGCACTGACAAAAGCAATATTGTGAAAACTAAATACTAAAATATGGGGCACATGTTGTACAGCCTCTTCCAGGCTGACACACAACAGACACACAACACTTTTAAGTCAGTAATCTTTCCTATTGCAACTAATCACAACACATTTTACTTTTTTCTAACCAGACAATGTGCAGTCAGTCATTTTTCTGTCTAATAATTTATCTTTTATTTTGTTTACAAAAATATAGGGTCCTCCAGGTAAAGTTGGTGAACCAGGGTTGCCAGGCGAACCTGGAGAGAAAGTAAGACAACAAATCTGTTGACGTTCTGCATAAATGCATCATTTTGAGCACAAGAACTTACTCACAAATTTTCCACAGGGGGCCATTGGACTGGCTGGGAATATTGGAGAGCAAGGACTAATAGGACAGAGGGTATGATTATGTGAAATAAACTGCAAACTTGCTTTTTCTATAGATATGTATTTTATGGGATTGTGTGTGTTTTTATGTGCAGGGAGAGCCAGGCCTAGAGGGAGAAGGTGGTCCAGCTGGTCCCGATGGAGCAAAGGTGATCAGTTTTTAAATATGGCCCTTAAAGCTGAATTGTTTCACTGTAAATGAAAAAAATCTAAAATATAGCCATATTTTAGGTATAAAGTAAACAGAGACTTGTCATGATTATGTGATCAGGGTGAAAAAGGTGACATGGGTCAAGAGGGTGACAACGGTGAAAAGGGTGAAACTGGACTTAAGGGAAAGGAGGGTCCAAATGGTAGTCCTGGATTTACTGGTGTCAGGGTAAGTCGTCTTTTGACAGAAATTCACGCACACATTTTAATAAGTTTTAGGAGCTCCTTGCCTTCAATTTAATAAATCTATTTGTGTTTAATTTGTTGTCTTTGTAGGGCCCAGAGGGGAAGCCAGGTAAAATTGGAGAACGGGGCAAACCTGGGCCAAAGGTATGATGAACTCTGAAAACAGATTATTACTTTAGTCAAATGTTATTTTGTTTGCTTGTTTGTTTGTATTTATTCCATCCATACATACACATACATTATCTTCCACCGACTCCAGAACAAATGAAAGGGGAGGGATGGATGGATGGATGGATGGATGGATGGATGGATGGAGGGAAGGAATAAAAAAAATCCACAAAGAAGGACATAGAAGATATATGTTGTCTGCCTTATGAATGTCTAGGGAGCTAAAGGCCATATTGGTCACCTTGGAGAGACAGGAATGGTGGGAAAGATTGGATCATCAGGATTTGTTGGGCCAAAGGCGTCCAGAGGAACAACTGGACATGTGGTAAAGTGAAAACAAAATAATAATAATGAACAACATTGAAATTAAATAATTTGACATTAAATGATGTAATGGATATTTTTGACAAACTATGCAATATTTCTTGCCTTTAGGGAGCTCCAGGTCGAATGGGTCAGCAGGGGGACACAGGTCTTCCAGGTTATGAGGTAAGATCACTTGTTTGAAGTCTGTGTATGTGAGTTGACAAGAAAAAATCAACGTGTTGTGGCTGTTTGATACTTCTATAAGATTTCTGGGTGTTTATGTTCACAGGGTCATCAGGGAAAACAAGGGCCCTTGGGGTCACCTGGACCAAAAGGTGAAAAGGTACACCTCATTCACTTAACAATAAACCAAACTAAAAATAAAAATATTTTCTTGTGTCTGAACTCTGCTAATTTGTATGACCACAGTACCTGTCAAAATTCAAAGCTTATAATCTCAAAAGCATTAACGTTTTATTTCCTGTGTGAAAGATCAACATTTTTTCTGTTCTGATTTTTGTTTTTAGGGTGAACAAGGCGATGATGGGAAGAAGGAAGGTCCTCCTGGTCCTCAAGGTCTGATTGTAAGTCAACTTTGGCCTAATGTACTTTCTCCCTTGACTGTTTTTTTTTTTCAAAGTAAATCTTAAAATTGGCAGGTTATTTTTATATATTTATTTATTGTGTGATCAGGGACCTCCTGGTGACAGAGGAGAGAGAGGTGAACCAGGAGACTCAGGGTACAAAGTATGTACTCCATTGTCTTGTTTAATCACTTCATTAAATGTTTTGGTTTATCAAATTAATGTTCCGTTCTTATATTGAAGGGTCAAATTGGTGTGGATGGAGAACGAGGCAGAACTGGAGCTCCTGGACAACCGGTTAGTGTCAAAATAATTGAGTTTCACATAGGCCTATAGTTCTGTCATTGAGTTTATACAAAGCATTTACCAGTACATCTATTCTTTTATGCTTTTATTTATACAACTGTGATTTCTAGGGGCACTCTGGACCTAGAGGCCAGCAGGGACCTAAAGGGGCCAAAGGGGACCAAGTAAGAATGTGAAGCTTACAAATCTTTTTCTATTTTGTGTTTCACTTTTGGAATTGCCTTAGAGTGCGCAACTAAGCTCCAAGCTTCAGTCCTTCAATGACATCACATCTGTCTTAGACAGAGTAGTTGAGCCATGATCGGGGCTTTGCCCATTACTATGGTCAACCAACCACCCCATACTCATTCTCGCTTTCTAATGATTTGTTCAATTAGCTTTGTAGAAATCTAGTAGAGTGTTGTATGAATGGGTAAATGAGGACACATATTGTAGTGTAAAGCGCTTTGAGTATCTTGAAATAAGATAGAAAGGCACTATATAAGTTCAGTCCATTTACCATTTACCATTTCTTCTGACAGAAACTAAAACTAAACTTCATCAGCTTGGTCAGTCTAGCTTGGTTAGCTGCTTAACATTTCTCAGGCATACATTGCTAAACCTATTTCCCAGTTTCAGTTTGAATAATGCTCAGTAAGTTTGTGCTTTGTGATAAGTATCCTAACTGCATTAAAGGAGCAGTGACCACCTGCTTCAGTTTTGTTTTGATAAAGTGGTCACAGGTGTAACACAAGCTAACATATCGAAGCAAATTTGTCTTCACTTGGGCATGGCAATAGTTTGCTAGCCAAAAGGATTGTTCTTCAGCTAATGTATTAAAATGAGCTGATTCAGACAAAATGCTTAGCTCAAATTTCCCACCAACCTCAAATTTGAAGGAGCAGTGGTCACAAAGGTGCAGGACTTCAAGTACTTGGGATCCACTATCCAGGAAAATGGAGAGTGTGGTAAAGAGGTGAAAGAGAGTCCAGGCAGAATGGAGTGGATGGAGAGAAGTTTCAGGAGTGATTTGTGACAAAAAGTTGTCAGCAAAGGTCAAAGGAAAATTTTCCAAGACAGTGGTGAGACAGCTATGTTGTATGGTCTGGAGACAGTGGTGTTGACAAAAAGACAGGAGAAAGAACTGGAAGTGGCAGAAAGGAAGATGTTGAGGTTCTCCTTAGAAGTGACAAGGATGGATACGATTTGGAATGAGATCATCAGAGGTACAACACAGGTTGAACAACTGGGAGATGAAGTTAGAGAGGCCAGACTGAGATGGTTTGGGCATGTCCAGAGGAGGGACAGTGGGTATATTGGTAGAAGGATGTTAGAAATGCAGCTGCCAGGAAAAAGACAAAGAGGAAGGCCAAAGAGGAGCTATATGGATACAGTTAAGAGAGGACATGGAGGTAGTTGGAGTGAGGACAGAGGATGCAGAGGACAGAGAGAGATGGAGAAGGATGACTCGCTGTGGCGACCCCTGAAGAGGAAAAAGCCAAAAGAAAAAGAAGAAGATTAGCTCAAATTTGACACTGCTGCTTGTGCTTGCGACAGACAAGCTTATTTTACATGAAAAGCTACACCCTCCATCTTTTGCCATGTCTACATCCGCTATCAACAATAAAGTGTTGGAACTGAAAGCCTGGGAGGCTATATCATGAATGCCTGGCATCATTCGGTGCCACCATCTGGGCCCTCGGACCCTTACATGATGTGCATAGCATGCGTGAGTGCCAAACATGCAAAAGCGAGTAGCAGTTACTAAGAGCCATGAATCATGCCTTTCTGCAACCACAGTGACAGGTGATGGCTATCAGACATAAGCCAGCACAAACTGGGCAGACATGTATGTCTGCAGATGGGCCACCTCAAAACTGGGCATCCTGTGGCCTGCAGCTCAGAATGCGGAGGGTAAAGAATAGGCCCTCTATAATAATGGAAAGACGCTCCCACTAACCTCAACACCAGCAAAACAGATTCTACCAGTTGTCCCAGCTTGTTTGAGAGAAATGAGGTGTTATTAGTTGAGCCCTTTTAGAAGCAAGCTCATGTATGAAAAGATGCTCCAAGTCAAAGATATAGGAGATGGTAAAACTGGGGCTAGCCAAACCCTAGCTGTAGAGTCTTCAATAGTGTACAACCTCTTCCATTCCAGCACCCTCAAACATCTCTCTCAACAAAATCAACCGTTTCAGTGAGTTGAGTTATCAGAAATTGTACATCCTAATGCAGTCACAATGTTGTCAGCATATCAAGCCTCAGTTTTACCATCTCCTATATCTT